CAGTGCTCCACACGAACACCGTAAGCACAAGCCGCATCAAAAGCACAAGATATCATTGCATGAGGATATATATTAAACAGGGCAGGAGCTAAGATACAGCTTCACACCAGCGACAACTGCAAAGTCAGCCGAGGTCTCTCCACTCAGCTGCACCCTCGCCCGCTTGGTAACATGGAGATTTATTCACACACATGTGTCACGTGCATGGTCAGACAGGCCGTGATTCATGATAACCAATCACAATAGTTGTATCACCCCGCGAATAGCAGGGTCAAGAGGGTAACACGTCTCAGATGATGCATTCGTTTCCACTGTGTATGCGAACCACTCCCATCCAATGTTTGGAACTACGAGCTACAGTGTGCCACAGTACTTCTACAGATAGTGTATGCTTGAACGGACAAAGTACACCCCCATTGAGTGCGACGTAGGTGATTGATAATAACCTACATAAATTGGTTTTGGCTAATAGGAAATAAAAGGAGGTTGTAGAAAGCAAGTTCCGCATAAAATTTAATGCTCAAGCATGATGTATCTAGGCTGCTGTGAGTGGACTAAAATAGTGAAATATGTTGTTGAAGGTCTCATTGACTTGTGTTACCCTCCTCCTGTCCGTTCCTAAAAATAACAGTGTTTGCGTTGTATCATCTTCGATGACAATGGTACCATGCATTGGACTCTGTATCAGCCATGATGTAAGCAATTAGCCGAGTACCAATGTGATGAGAACTCTTGTTGGCTAACAGAGTAAGTGTCGAATATACCAATATACGAATATACGAAGATTTTGAGGGAACCAGGAGAGCTGTCGAAAGACGACAATCATGGTAGCCGAAGGAACGGTAGTAATCTGAGCAAGTAGAGGGTGCACGAATATATCGTCCAACACATTCTGGAGAAAGCAAAGCACAAAAACCCATAGGACGTGGTCCCATACACATGCGACCTACGATTGTGACTGTAACATCCCTAATTTATTGCGAGTTGATCCCATGACTTTCCACCTCAGGTAGTATTTCACGTGACCGAAAAAGCACTAGGCGGAGGTTTCGACCTATTGGGTCTCGTCAGTGGCGCACATGCCTCAGCGCCATCTGGATCCGAACCCGCTAATCAGCCAACAGATTATACCACAAAGTCATGGGGGAAAATATAGACCATCATGATTTATAAGCTAACTGTGACATAGCACCTCAAATCCTCCAGTGCCATGCAATTTGCGAACGTTGCAGGGGACATGGTTGCGTCCAAAAAACAGGAACCCACTGCTTCTATGGTAGCAAAATGCCTATGCCTCCGTTCTTCTCGTCGGCTACGTTTGTTTCACAGTCTGAATGCTGCAACGAAGTTACCAGTTCGTATACAGCGGATCGATGAACATGGCTGCTGTCCCGAAGGGTATCCGATTAGATATTACATAGGGTCAAATGAAGGGGTTTGGGATTCGTGCACTGCCTACAGTTGACCAGACATTGAGCTTAGCGTTGAATTGCAAACTTTTCTAGCACGGATAAGACCATCGTCAGTTGATTGTATAGTGTCATGAGGCCGTCAACTTAGTCGAGCGAGGAGTGCCGACGGCAGGTATGTCCATGCACTAACATGGTCACCTACCTTTGAAAGATTTGATCTTGGAACCTGCGTCTTTTGACCACCTCGTCACCACATGCCTTCACATCGATTCACCAACTATGGTAAACAATTGCAACTGAGCGACCTCAGGTTTACCTCAAGTTTCGTAATAGGTACATCCAACCTCAACATCATCCGAGTATTGCCAAGTCTGTTGTTATGCATAAGAAAACGTTAAGCAGACCAGTTTAATTATGGGAATCAATCAGACGAGTTTCAACTGCTATTTCAGTGATCATGAGTGGGTTTACAAACGTAAAACTGAAGCAGAGGGCAGATGCAATCTCATAAACTTATAGGTGTAGTTGGATGGATCGGGTAGAATAAGTTAACATAAAAAATTATAAGTGTAAATGTTTTCGGCTTTGATTCCGCCAATCTCCACTGAAATCCGTCAAAGACTAGGAAGGCTGGTTCATCTGATCGGAATTCACCGGCAATTGGTGATTGTCCGATCAGGTAATAGGTTAAGTGATTCCTACCCAAGGCTCTTGCGAGTGTGCGCTGCAGCTCTAGCTTTACCCCTAGCGGACCTGTTCACCGACTTCTTCTCGCAAGACGAAGTTCCCATTGATTGGAAATCTAGGACTACTACACCAATCTACAAAGGCGGTACTCGCTAAGATCCGGCCAATTACCGACTGATAATTCTCCTATCTACGATATTCAAAGTGATGGAATCGATCGTCGCGGAAGCTTTAATGGATGACTTGGAGGCCCAGAAATTGCTCTCTGATTGCCAGCACGGTTTCCGGCGTCAACGATCGTGCCTGAGTAACCTGCTACTTTCCAGGGATAGTTGGACGGCGACTGCCGGCTCGAGCCTAGAAACGCATGTTATATTCTTGGATTTCGCCAAAGCCTTCGAAAAGGTCGACCACAATATTCTACTTCAGGAACTGTTGTCTTACGGCGTTTCAGATGCCTTGATGGACCGGATCCGGAACTTCCTTCAAAACCGCGTCGACGGAGCGTTATCTCCCCGCATCCTTGCCACAAGCGGAGTTCCACAGGGGTTTATTCTCGGACCAGAACTTTTCCTATCATTCGTTGATGACGTCACACCGCAAGTGGTGTCCTTGCAGCTGCTAAACGCGGATGACGCGAAGCTGTGACGCACAATTAACCTTCCGGACGATGCCCACGCACTTCAGACGGACCTCGACCGTCTACATCAGTGGTCCCTAGAAAATAACCTTCCAATTAACGCTTCGAAATGTCGTGCCCTTTTTACTCGCCCTTCCGCTTTTTCTCCTAGATATTACCTGGGAGCGTCTACTCTCCAGATCTCTTCGGCCGACAGAGACTTGGATATCATTACCCAGACAAGTCTTTTCGTATCCGCTTCCTGCCGGAAAGCAGCAGCTGCTGCTAACTGCATGGTGGGATTGCTGAAACGAGCCTTCGGTCAAATTGGTCCCAGCAATTTCCGCCTCCTCCTCAATGCTTTTCTTCGACCCCACTTGGAGTTCGCTATTCAGGCTTGGAGCCCTTGGCTTTTGAAAGACCAACGCATACTCGAAGCCCCACAACGTCGAGCAACCAAACTGGTCCGAGATCAAGCACCTAGATTATCCACAACGACTTCAGTGCCTGAGCCTCTACTCGCTTAAGTACCGACGTCTACGGGGCGACCTGATCCTTGTATTCATGATCTTATCCAACCCTGGACATCCCTATCGCCACCTTCTCACAATACACCAATCGGGCTCCCACCTACGTGGCCACCCACTGAGGCTCACACATCAGCACAGTCGGCTGAACTGCAGACGACACTACTTCGCGTTGCGAATCTGTCGACCGTGGAATGCTCTGCCTGCCGATGTAGTCTTGGCACCCACTGTGGCGGACTTTAAGACCCGCTTGGACTGTCATCTGGCCGAGTTACACCGGGATATTCCCTAATATAACTACATTCTACTGGATGGAATTTCTTTCTTTTTTCTACCTAATTTCTTTCCAAAGTCTTTTCGGAAGGCAGGGTGGGATGTCACGTTTAGAGTCGGCGTGCATTCTGTTTAAATGCCGCATAAGCCCGATGAAGATACGGCTAACACGCGAGTCCAACCCGCTATAAGGTTCCTTGGCCTTTCATTAGACCCGACCCAACTCTTTTTACCCTATGGATCATGTAAAGCTCGAGCTTTTATTCCCATTAAATGCAATGTGCCAATGTTCCAATGTACCGTTGGAGTGGACTTAAACCTCTGAGCCACTGTGATTGGTTGCGCTCGGCGTGTCTTAATAACCAACTTTGTGCTGTTTGGTGAGATCATTTCGGAACAAATTTCATCAAGCGTGTTAACCTCACTTGATAAGCAATACCACCGGATGTATATTTCTCTTGCTACCGAGAAACTGTGTACACAAACGGACGGATCGCATCTACATGTGCAATATGTTCACGCAGGCTGAGTTATCAATGCGTGGAAGTTACGCAGGGACGCAATAGGAACGTTTGGAAAGACACTTCGGGGTTTTCATTGTCGTTTCCTATCAGAACACAAACACTGTCACTTTTTCCATTCTGGAAGCAGACTTCCACTATGAGACAGACGACTGGGGTCCTGCTCATAACAATTAATGTGCAGTTTGCGAGCATGTGTTGTTAGCAAATTTCCCAGGGATGAGGCGACTGTGCAATGTTTGTCTGCATGTTGGGGGCTGTCCCTTACCGGTATATCAAAGAGAATACCATCTAAGTCATTCCAATTTCATCACTCTTCAGTTTGCCGAACTCTTGGCTCACGTGGAAAACACTGGAAGGGCCAATGAAGTAATGTCACCCTCGTGTTAATTAGCCGCTTCACCTGATTGGCTGTCTGTTCGCAACGGCGATGGGCGCCTCGGTTGTTCGCTTAGCACATTTCTTCCTAACACATGCTAAAGTGGACAAGTAAGCTTAGGCATTACCCAGTTGAGGATAACCTCGGCACTTTCAATCTTGGCTTTGTCATTTGGGCGACTGTGCGAGCGTTTTGAGTGGGAACTTATGAGCAGTTAGCAACTTTGAATCTTACAGCTTATCGCAATTTCGTCTATGCCCAAAGCACGCCCGTCTGAATTTCCCACCAACTTATTCTAGCCGATTACAGTAGCGTCATCATTTCTCCTACTTGAAGTCAATTCTGTTCGGTAAAGACTGCCTTGTAATGAAGAGGTTATTCTCGCATTCTGATTGGCCGCCATTCCGTGCGCACGTGTGTTTGCATAGTGTGGATTGGGGTCAGTCGGGAATTCCACCGACCAATTACGCAGTCACGCAACGACAATGTCCGCCTCACAGAGATCCGCCGCAAATGCAGACTGTCGACCAATGGTAACTGGCCAAATGCTTCTAAGCTCCGCTATCGACCCGTTACTGGCTCACACCACTCCAAATATCCCATACTCCAGTGACAGCGAAAAATCACAGTACTCTGGTCTTTTGTGTCCAATTGAATTATTGCAGTCTGTCTCCAGTCTACTCCACTCGAAAATAGAGGCTAAGTGGTTGAATGTGTGCACGCGCGTTTGTAGGTGTGTGCGCGTGCGCACGATCAAAGCTGGTTTTGATGTGAATGGGTTGAGTTGGTTTGCACACCTGACAAATTCGATTAGGGCTACCGTGCTGCCTCATTTTGGCATCACAGTCATCGCATTGGCTTCCCATATACGCTCATTGTAGTGTTGACAGAGGCAAACTAACATTGCCCAACCTACACCGCCATGGTACTCCGCTTCGCATCAGCATAATTGAGCGTGTGGGTCAGGGATAATTGGATCATGTCTCTTTGAATTACGCTTCGGTGCGCATGCGTCTATCCCCGTGTGAACATTCCTCGTTTCGATGTGTGAGAGAGAGATTCATCGCTTTGTGTCGACGAAGCACCCCCGAGGGTTCTGATTATTATTAAATTTGCCCAACGCACACCAGAATGATGCTGTCCCAATCATACTTATTTCCAGCCAGTGAGCGAAAGGAGCTTGACGTGAATTCGACTTTAGCACAAGACGGTGAATCTGCGAGTCAAGCATTTTCGTTGCAGTTCAGCATTGACGAAGAACACCGATCCAAACATGGTGCGCATCATGAAGATAGCAATGCTAGCGATGAAGCCCCACTTGAATTACTTCATCCTGTCAATTCAACGGGTATTTCGGCTAATTCACGAGCAATCACTCCTATCAATTATGACTGCACCGTGGACGATTCATCCTTCGGCCCATTCGAGCATGATTCTTCTGCGATTATTCAGAATGGATTGCGGAGTTCTTTACCGCAGAAACAGGGAAAAAGGAGCGTACTTGGAAAAGACTTCTATGTTTGCGGTCCTAACAGATCTGGTTATGCGAATATACCTCCACCTTCGACCGTGGTATGCGATTGCTCTGTGGACACGGAATGTCATCCAGTTTCTCCTGTGAAGCAGCAATTGGAGGCGAGTAGTTACTGCTTCGCAGAGCCGACTAACTTAACCAGCACGGCAGGATTGAAGAGCAAAGACTTCATCAGTAAGCTATTGACTGAAAAGGTCGACGAATCAGGTAAGTATCGATTTCATGGACTGCCTAACCGTTAAAAACAGGTCGGTAGTAAGCACTGTTTCACTTGCTGTAAGCAGAATGCTGTTTTGAACGAGAAACGGTGAATTATATATGAAGACATCATTAGGAACCTATATGTTGAAGCAATAATTGTAATCAGTCTAAGTATGGTCAAACAGTCTTTCAATCATCTTAATACTAGCCCAAAGAGTTGGTTTGCATTCTCCTCCAGGAAAACATCAGCCATTTGACATTTGAAATGAACAGCTTCAGTGACATGTGTTAGGTGGATGTCCTTCATCGATGCCCATTCGCACAAATCCCTGAATTGTCAGGAGTTATGGTAACAAGAAAGGTGTGAAACTGTCACGTGTTTCACTTGAAAATTTCATATGGACACGAAAGCAGTCTGGGGTGAATTGCTTCATTGAGACCCAGATCCGTGCTGTCATATGTGAGGAATTATACCTAGCCGATTCCCATTTGCACACTTGTGGTACGGTAATTGATGTCGGCATCTGTTCTCAACTTCTTCTGCTCTTGTGACTCTCAGTAACCACAGGATACCAGAGCCTATGTGTAAGGATCATGGGTTAGCTACGCTGCAGGGATTTTGGGCCAACCAACGGACCGAGAGGCGGATAAGTCGATACGCCAGTGTCTGACGTTCTTCGTGGTGTGGATACCGCCTGTAGCGTGAAATCGTGCGAGCATTATGTCTGAATGTAACTGTCATTAAATTTCTGTCTGGTTATCACCCAATCACATGTAATCGGTGTATAACTGTAGATTTGCACTGAACCATGGTTGGGCGACTACTCGAGCCATGCTGTCGGCAGTTGCCTAAATCCAACAATCCTGTCGGCGACATCGGGGAGATAAGCGCTTTGTCCGCGCGCAGATAGTGTAACATCCCAGTCAGTGCATTACTTGGGAAACCGCGGCAGGTATTAGGCAACCCGAGATCACATCCCTAGGGGCAGCCTAGCCACAGCGATACCACAGTGCATCTATTACGTTAGTCGCAGCGCAAACAATGGCGCATATTTCACCAGCTGCTTCCTATCAAACTAACAGGTTGATAAATGTTTTGTGTTGCGTCTCATTTCAGTGAATTCACATGGCAACCTTTGCTCGCTGGATGAGAGAACACTTCAGTTCACATGAATAGAGTTTCACTCTCATCTTTCATAATCTGTGATTGACCTGACAGTGTGTATAGGTTATTCGCGCGGATAACAAAAGGGTCCACCTCCACAACACTACATTTTTCTCCCAGTGTTGGTGAACTTTGTCGCTAGCTTTCTGAATGTGCACCATTGTAACGCGATTCGCTAGTCCGCTTTGATTTTCCGTGCAAATTGTGTATGTGTCATTGATGATATTCTTTACCAGCAGGCATCTAGCTGGCTGCCCTTTTTGATACAATTTCGGTAGTGCTTGGTTATACTAAGCTAACACAGGACGCTCTTTAGGTGTGTAAGTAGATCCTTATTTCAGTCATCATACGTCTAGTTCTGAATTCGTTCTTACCAGCCTAGAGTCGGAATTGAGTTGCAAGGTATTTGGGTGCACGATGCGTCCCCTTATAAGAGAGTCGTAGGGGATTTGTCGTGTTTCTGAGAAGATTCGTCGCAGTTTAAATTAGTTAGACAGCAACCATACACCCAGGAAAATGTTAGATGATCGATTCATTCTCTCATGACTCGTCAGTGGCGCGCATCCGCCGAGCCCTCTCGGATTCCAACCTCCACCCTAACTCTTACGAGCCAGCGACTTTTGCCACTGAGCCATGAGTGACCGTTGCTGACAACGATGACAGATAACTAACTGCTTTATAGCGTGACTCATCCTCGCTGTCAGCGATGACCTCCAGACTCTACGACTTCTTTGCAAGCTGCCACCAAGCGAGGTGACATGTGATCTGCTACTGACGAATCCCAACAGGATGAAACGACCGTCTAGCGCTTTCCTGGATGTGTGGTAGTCGTCTAGATGAGTCTAACTGTGACGATTCTTCACAAAAGATGCTTCACTCTGAAGTAAGCTGTGGTCACTTTATTCATTGGTGACAGCTGTAGTAGTTAACCTAATCGTCCTGACACGCATTTGCCTCAGATAGCTTCACATAATTCGACTGCACAGGTTGAATGTTTTTAGCCCGTCCAGCGAACATTCCTTACGCTATAAACAACATTGCTATGATACTATGCACCGTGTTACTCGGCAACGGGAATCTGAAGGAGGATGTTAATGAAATCAGTTGTTGTAACATCCGTCGTGCTACACTTAATCGATATCTTGTTAGGTGGACAATCCTCCCAGATGTAGTAGTGTTTACATCTCAGTCTAGCATGACTCACTCTTGTCTGTGAGTCCACCTTCTAAGTGGTTGAATAACAAGTTGGATGACAGCGAGAAATTCTCGATCTCTACTCACCGTAGTGGTAGCGGGTGCTTTGGGAATTTCTCACAAATGTTATCGGATTGCAGTAATGGGGCGAGCTTCTTCGACTGAATCTACATAGGTGCATCCATTGCTTGCAGGTATGAAAACTTGGACAGTGGGCAAACATTTCATCAGAAGTAATCACTACAAGTGCGATGGTAGCGTCCACTTTTGGCTTTTCACATTGGCTGGAAAAGCCTAGGCCCATATAGGGAATGGCCTACGCAGCATCACACACATACGAACAAACCCACGCTCAAACACATCATAACTGGTGCAAAACAAGAAGACTAAATTTCGTGGAAGGCAGAAGTCACGATTAAACTCCACACGAAAATCTGCCTCGACGGGAAATCGAACCCCGGTCCACGAATTTCCGGTCCGCTGCTCTACCACTGAGCTACTGAGGGCTGACGATTAGGTGCGGAATTTAACACGTGACTTCTGCTTGGTGCGCGACGTGGTAGAGCAGCGGACCGGAAATTCGTGGACCGGGGTTCGATTCCCCGTCGAGGCAGATTTTCGTGTGGAGTTTAATCGTGACTTCTGCCTTCTACGAAATTTACGTTACTCACAAACATCCTTCAAAGAAGACTAACATTGGAAGGCATTTCGGGTGTGTAACAAATAATTCTGAGACTGCCCCAAGTTGTTCAACCTGAATATCATCGAGCAAATTGTGGATAACAAGCCCGTCAGAAGATAAAAAACGCAAAATTGACTTGAGTCATCCATCGAACCTGCCACAGTCACAGGTAGTGCACTTCGTCCACCCTAGAAATTGGTGACAGTCTTATGAAACCAGTGCTCTAGGAGGCTCCATTAAACATAGCATTCGTAAACCCACAGTATCCAGAGTGGGGTAACGTAATAATACAAGCCCCTTCAGACTCAGCAGCGATAATCACGCTGCATGCGTAACCGGCGCATATACTCACCTGTACTACGACACATACCCAGCAGTCTAGCTGTGACACCTATTAGAGACGCAAGTGATTTGGTTGGGTCGTTGGATAATCGTTACATGGATACATGACTTGAAACTCAAAATAGACCGAGGTGTTGTGTCGCCGCTGACGCCTTCACCCCACGACCGCAAGAAGTCCAAAGACGAGCCAGAACGAGACTGGTATACATGAAATCACAGTTGCTTATATAGTTTTGGAGGCAAAATGAAGGGAGGCTACTAAATTACCCTTTAGCCAACCAACAGAAGGAAAAACGTCAAATGCAACGGCGAATAAGCAACCGTGTACTCAAGAGCGAATCGCATGTGTCCTTAAAAATAGCATCATGGGACTCCAAGCGTAAAGCGAACATCCATTTACGGTGACGGGCACTGGCCAATCAGAATAACGAAATATAGCGTTTAAACAAATGTCACGAAACAAACGAGAATAAGAAATGCAGACCCCAAAATTAAGAACTAGCACAATAATCGCGTGACAACTAAATATTGCTTTAACATAACCAAGTAGAACAGTGATGAAGAGGAAAACCAATAGAATGTGTGCTTGCAAATGGCACTGCTGAAAAGGACACGACGATGAGCGTCCATTGAGAATGACGGGTGTGGACTAATCGGGCTAACCCAGTAGAAAATAGGAAGAATAAAGAATGGCTATTAAGCTTGTTCACAAGAAATGAATGTCTAATAGCTATTCTCCTAATACGGGGAAACAGTCCAATTTTTCAAGAGTAGACATAGTTATGTCGCTCGTCTTAGCTCAACCGTGGTAAAGCATTATGACGTATGAAACGCCCGTTTCAGCCTCGGAAACAGACGCGCAACCACAACAAGGTTGGCAGCACCCGGTTTCGGATTTGTCTGTCACTGCGGCCTTCACGGAAACAGCCACAGGACGCCTGCACATACACAGGGACCATGGGTGGCTTGCGCTGTACCACCCGAGGCTCCATCCACACACCGCATACCCAGTGTGAACTCGAAGTACTAAGACCGTGAGGCATTTGGATGTGAGCCACGTTTTATCAACGGAGCCGGCCCACACTCCTTCAACTTGTACAGCACCAGCATTCCAGTCTATCTACGTAGGTTATCATGCGTGCCAGACGTACACAAGGCGGTGGCTGGGCCGTAGTCCGCTCCACAGTGGATGCGACCACTCAGTGAGTCTAACACGGCCACAAGTACCATGCACACCGTCTGTGCAAGCGACGATCAACTGTCTTCTGGAGCCAATGTAAACAACAGAGAATATAAAGGAAAAGAAACACGCAAAATTGACACGGGGTATGCAGCAGAATAACAGAGGTGAGCAAATCAAATAAAGAGGGATGCTTTTTATCCAGGTGAAGAAGATATAGTGGTGAAGAAGCATGGTGTATGCAACATGAACGCCAGTCTGGGACACATTACCGCAACATAGTCTTAGGACTAAGTAAACAGTGGGCGGTACCATCCATGTGTTACCATATTACACAGACTTGTGAAGATATTTTTAGCTGCGTGCTCACTTAGTGATAAGCCGAGATCGTTTGTTGAATTCCCTCACACAAACGTAACTCCAAAAGCTCAAAAGCATGTTAA